AATAAAAATAAATATTGTCCAATAAAATATACTATACGAAGTGTCCAATAAAAATAAATATAAAAATTGTCCAATAATATATAACTAACAAAATAAACTATAACAATATAATAATAAATATATAAATGAACAAATTTATTATATGTTTTTAATTGTTATTAATTATTCTTGAGATTCTAAGAACTATGAAATCTATTGAATCTATTTTTTTACTAGCTAAAATATATGCAATATTTATAAGTAATTGATAAATAAGAAGTGATCATTTGGAATAATCACTTGAAATGATTATTTGAAATGATCATTTGAAATGATCACTTGGAATGATTGCTTGAAATAATCATTTATGATGATCATTTTTGTAAAACATCAAATTATAACAATAAAATTAACCAATAAAATATTATCCAATTAAATTTATGATATGAATTAACCAATAAAATAAGAATTAAATATTCATATCATAACAATATTACAATTTAGATATTAAAAAGATAATAATATATAAAAATAAAAAGATAAATTAATTTGATTATTTAATTTTTGTTGATTAAAAATTAATTAATTATAAAATTTTTGATAAAAATAATAATAGTATTCAAATAATTAATGAGTTAATAATATTTAATTAAATTTATTATAACAAATATAGATTTATTAGTTATCAATATGATTAATATATATTAATATATAGATTGACTATTATTATGATCAGGTTCTTAATGAATATTATTATAATATAGGTATTTAATTAATATCTAATAATAGTATTTTTATGATTACTCAATCTTATCATGATCAATATACTTTAGAATTATTATGCAGTATATTTTCTTCTATTAATTAGATAGATTCTCACTATTATTAATAAATGTTATATTTACTTAGTGTGAAATAGTTTTATAGTAATACAGTATTATTACTAATTCAATATATGAATACATGAATGGAAAATACAATCATAGTAAAAATTAGTTATAATAATATTTAGATTATATTTTAGTTTGATAACTTTCTACTTCTACTTCTTTTTATTTCTATTTTCTTTTTTTTCTTATTATTTTATATTAGTTTAGTTTTTATTTACTATTTTTGCTATTGGTACTTTAGTATAGAACAAGATTATTAATTATAATGTAATTAAATTTTATGTAATTTAAAAAAGAACCAGTAATTTTATAATATTAGCATAGATTTACTATATCACATATTGTACTATAATTGTGTTATACTACATATTACTGTACTATATTGTGCTACTATAATACAAAAATATATATAAATACAAGTGCTAATAATTAATAAAACTCAAGTTCTTTGATTCATATTGAAAGTTCTTCAAGTTCGATTTAAGTTTTCTTAGTTTTGTTTTAAGTTTTTTTTTGGTTTAATTTTAAGTTTATTATGTTAAATTAATTTAATTTTGAAGTTAAAAATAGTTTTTGATTGAAATTTCTTTTAGTTTAGTCTTGTCTTTAGTTTAGTCTTATTATTATTATTTTTATCTTGTCAAGAAATATTATTCTTTTGTCATAAATATTATTTAATTATTTATTCAAAGTAAATTGCTATGGATATAATCACTATTACTATTTTGAATATTTTCATATACAAAAATTCAAAATAATAATAGTACTGATATTCTATAGCAACTTGATAGTTATCCAATAGTATATAATAAATACAAGTATTTAATATAAGATTATTATTTATTATTTAATATACAAATTTCATTAACAATAAATAATGGACAATTTATTGACTAGCTAAATTTTTGTAGTGATCAATTGATACTTTTTTTAAAGCTCTAATTATATTTTATTTATAATAAATATTTTTACTAATTAATGTTATATTAATTTAATTATAATAAAGATAATATATGTAATAAATATAATATAAATAATAGATAAAGTATTTTAGCTAGATTTAATAAATATAATAAAGATATATTTATGAAATGTTGAAAATGTTTGAAATATTTTTAAAGCATTAAGAAATTAAGGAATTAAGAAATTATAAAATTCTATTTGTAATATCATTAAAATAAAAATTCAAAGTCAAAATTGAAATTAAAAGAATATGTGATGAGAACTTTCAAATAAAAATCTCTAAGTAAGAAGATTTAAGTTTTTTTTATCAAAGTAGAAAAAGCTAAAAGCTCAAAAATCTTTTAGTTAAAAAATTTAAAATTAAGAAATCCTATTTAATTCTATCTAAAATATATATTATATTTATAATAATTACTAATTTATAGATCAATTTTATTATTATTCTTAATTTTATAAATCATTTGATCACAAGTATTATCAGTATTACTTGATATTTACACAAGTATTATTAATATTACTAGTATTACTGGTATTAATATTAATACAAGTATTAATATTATTGTTATTGTTAATACAAATAAAAAACCAATAATAAAGTTTTAATTAATTATTTAATTAAATTAAAACTAATTTTTAACTAATAAAATATAACAAAATCTTATCCAATTAAATTATAATATGAATTAATCAATAGAATAAGAACTAAATATTTATATTATAACAATATAAATAAAATATGAATAGTATGAAATAAAAAAAAATGTGATCTATAAATCATATAAAAATTAACTATCCAATTAAAATAATGTGTAATAAATTATATGATATGTAAAATCATATAAAAATTAAATATCCAATTAAAATAATGTGTAATAAATCATATGATATGTAAAATCATATAAAAATTAACTATCCAATTAAAATAATGTGTAATAAATCATATAATATGTAAAATTCATATCACAAATAAAATTTATATTTTTTTGTTTCAAAAATAAATAAATAAATAATACATAGTAAAGTTAATAAATTATAACATGTTATATTTCTAAATCAAATTCAAATCTGATTTATTTTTTTTTATATTTATAAAGATTACTACAATTTTATTTTTTGAATTAGTTTGTTTTTAATACACACTTATATTTTTCTTGAACTCCTTCAAAGTTTGTTTCAAACTTTAATTTTTTATAAATTCTTCAAAAAATCAGGTTAGTACTTTGAACTTTTTGAATTTACCAAATATCTGGTTCAGGTTTAGTTCAAACATTAAATCTTTTTGAACTCAAGCCAAAATCTGGTTCAAGTTCAGTTCAATAATTAAACCCTTTTTGAACTTATCAAAAAGTCCAGTTCAGATTTGGTTCAAACATCAAATCAAATTCAAGTCAAAATCTGGTTCAAGTGCAATTCAATTTTTGAACCAGACTCAAATCCAGGCAAAAAAATCTGGTTCAGTTCAGTTTATAAAAACACTATTTCACATGTCAATTGTTATACCTTTTTATATATGAAATGTTGTATGTTTGAATTTCGGGTTATAATTATGTTTTAGTTTAGTTTCTGTTAAAGTCTATATTATTTGTTGTGATCCAATCATTGATTACAAAAAATAAAAATCAAAAGTTAAAAAAACGTGATAGGTTTGAACTATCAAATCCTTAGAGTTGTAGAGTCGAAAAAGAAACGACCACTTGAATAAAATCAAAAGTTCAAAAATACATTCGGGTATGTAATTTTTGCACCAAACTTCCAGACGTATCTTGACTAAAGAAATCTCTCGTTCGCCCGTCTCTTAAGAAACGAAAACGTGAAAATGATGAGTATACAAAGATGAACAGAATAATCAGTGGCAAATGGGACACTGAATTAATAAATGATGCCGAACGTATTACTAGAGAAAAAGAAAGAAACGAAGAAATACATCAAAATGGAAGCAATGATATTGATGAAGAAATCAATTCAATGTCTAAAACAAAACGAATAGCATGCTAAAAACTACTAAGAGAAAGTAATCGCAATCATTTATAGCAGGGAACGATAAGTTTTAGAGTACAAAATAACCAAGTTACCTTTCCTTCAGACTCTCTATCTTTCTACATCATATGGTTAATCGTTGATTGTCTAGTAAACATTGAAGTTCATTTTTCATAAATAAAGTTAAATCGACTCAATAAATGTGGAATGGCCGATAATTGAGGTCCATATCGCTGTGCATTATCATATAATTCAAAAAGAGGTACAGCTAATAATTTCATATTTTTAGGTACCGATAGAACCTCTATATGAAAAATATGTAAGAAAGTTATGATTATAAAAAATGACCGCAACAAAATCGATGTAAGCTTATATTTACTCTTTTCGGGTAGTTGAACCAGGAATATTTTCTTTTGCTCTTTGGGTTTCGTGACATGAGCTGGCACATATGGGTACTAAGTTTGAAAATTTCAGAAAATTATAATAAATACTACAAATACCAGAAACGGTAATAATAATAAAATATGTATACAAACCATAAATGTTTCGAAATTTGGTCGCCACCATACACTCAAACATTCACCAATTTCCCAATTTTGTTCTGAACCTCCCGCTGAATTTGTAACAGCATTATAATTATTGGTGACTGGAGCAAGACGTTCACTTAATCTATTTTTTAGTCCTTCAATTTCATCCTCGCCTGGTCTTAGATAATCGCCTGGTCTGTTATTTATTTTTATTAGTATTGTTGTTGTTCATCATCATATCGGACGTTAGACGAGACGAAGGCGAAAAATATCAATCAATTAATATGGACGAGTAAAAAACTCATAGTCAAGAAAAAACTATGTTAAAAAAAAACTAAATCAAAAACAGACAATTTAAAAAATGAATTTGCAATTTGCAACATCAACACGTGTGGATGATTATGTTCATGAACCACCAACACGCCTTCTACTGTACGTCGCATTCCACTAGTTTCATAGTCATTTTGTAGTCGTGCGAGTCGAGCTGCAACTGACGGGTCTTCTTCTGGTTGTGCCTCTTTTGTTCCAAATGTATAATTTACTATTATTTTGAATTTTTGTAAGTAAAGATTATTATTATTATTATTATTATTATTATTATTATTATTATTATTATTATTATTATTATTCAGAGACATTCCAATATTATGAACATATTTCCATTTGAAAATATTTAACATGATAAATCCGAATCTTACTTAGTGGATATCTATTTGGAATTTATACAACAAATCGGCAAGAAAATGGGTGTTAGATTTAAATTTTTGGTCAAAATCAAATTCTAAAGTACTTACAAAGTCACAGTTGGGTTATTGGACATCTTTCGACTGACAAACAAACAATAAGTAATAATGAATTGATTTCGGATTTTTCGAAAGATATACTATATGTAGATAGATTCACGCGACCAATCAAAGAAATGCTTAATTAATATAATAAGGTTTAACTCGTATTATATACTAACAAAATTTTTCATAAGCTAAGCTTCAAAAAATAACGGTAATTTATTAATTCACCAGTTGAGAACTCGAATTCTTCAGATTGAAAGCTTCTCGTCTTGTTTCATTGTAACAGCATGCAAAACTATTTTACGTATTTCAAATCAAAATCGTTTTCCTATATGTTAGAGATGTGCGCAGATTTCCTAAATTATGTGCAGATTTCAAGAGTTGTGCACTAAATGCTATTTTGGCTTGAATCCTTCCAATAGACACGCTAATAATAATTATACATTAATCTTCATCCTCTTGACATTAGAGGATAATCTATTTTCATCATCAGATTTTCTTACACTTCCTTTCCCTTCATTATTGACACTCAAACCGGGTATGTAGGGATTTAACAGCTCTATCTTCAATTTTTGCCTCATACCACCAACTAAATCTTCATCAATGGTAATTTGCACCATCACCTTGTTGAAAAGTTTGATGCTGATATCACATAAAGATGAGTCAAGACTATTAGTGTGGGGGTTATAGACAACTGGCGAGGCGGGAGTAGCGCTAAGAGAGCTCTTTGACGAGCAGACAATGCCTTCGATTCCATATCTAGAATTATACAGTTTTTTTGATATTACTAAATAAAAATTTGGTAGTATTTTATTTCTATCATTACCTTGGAATCAAAACGATAAATCCATTTTTGAGTATACGTGTGACAAATCCTTCTTCTTTTTCGGTTTTTCCTTTGAAAAAAATATTGGTGTGTAATTCAACAGAACTTCGGGCTGCTAATTGTGCCATCACATAACGATAGTTTAACCCTGTCAATCAGAATGAGTTTATATAAGTAAGCAACAGTAAAAAAAAAGGTGATCTGACAAATTGATCAATCATACCATCACAGAGCTTTTGCATTTTTGTTTTATCTGTCAATTCACTGCTATATACAGAATTGGTGTTAATACACGCTTCCAATAGTCGATGAACTATTATATCTAAATAACAAAGAAAATTTAGATTAAATCGTTCAATTCAATTAAGCAAAAAAAAAAGATAGTTTATTATGCAGGATACCAGAATATCTTCTGATGGGGGATGTGAAATGAGTGTAAATTTCCGAGGCGAGGCCATAATGCAGAAAATCCTTTTTGCCAAAATTCCCAGAACAAAAATACTTAGCCTGCATCATGCATCGGGTTGTCATTATTCTCAATAATTTATTGAAATAAGGTTCATTCGGTATCTAGCAGATTTATTTGTTATATTGTTTGTTATTTATGGTTAACTGAACCAACGAGGAGCAAAATGAAACAATTACCGCCGCCTTATTCAAGGAATCTGCCAGGTCTTTAGAAGTATTATATTTCAAAGTAAATCCAAACTGGGAAATTGATTGTGCCAAGTTTTCTAGCTTTGATTCAGTAGGAGGCGGATGGTGTCTATAGATAACAATCGAAGTTTTAATATATAAGCAGCAAAATCATCCACAAAATTCCATAAATCTATTATAGCAAATAAAATAAATACCTTAACAATGAAGAAGCAGGGAATTTCGAAATGATCTTTTGAGCCACAGAAATATTGGCAAGCAACATGAATTCTTCAACAAGAGCATTCGTTTCCTTTAAATCCTTCATTTCTACTCGAGAGTTAAAGAATAATGATGATGATGATGAGGAGTAATAAAAAATCATATTTGTAAAGGATACCGACATCAACAGGATCTTGCGAATCATTTTCTAATTGAAATCGCACTTCAGGACTCGCTAATGTCAGAGCACCACGTTCCAAGCGTCTAGCGTGTAGCTTTTTAGCAAGTTTGTTAAGAAGTCTTAAACCCTCTGTTAAATCGTCTTTCATTCGACTAATAACAATTAATCAATCAATTAATTAATTAATTTCACAATGAGATTTTCAATAGTATATTAGAATGCCAAATACTCACAGATCATCAATTCTTCTTTGAGCTTCATCATAAGTTAAAGAAGCCTTGGAAGAAATAACACTTTTGGTAAAATTAACCTGGATTATATCTGCGTCTGCACTCATTTCCTATTGAGTTTAGATTAGTATATTAAGCATTTTGAATATATACTCTATTCTAACTACGTTGGTCTCTTTAATATTAATTACCCATAGACAGGAAAAAGCCAATCGATCCACTTTTTCATGAAGTGAGCATAAATCTATTATTATGAAAAGTTAGATTTTATTATGATAAGAAGGTGAAAAATTCCAAAAAAATTAACAAATTAATTACTGCATCCAAGTAAGGTTGGTATCATGTCGATTCTCTTGTTAACCAAGTATACAGTAGTGCCACGAGTAGCAGCTTCTTGATCTAACGCAGATCCCGGTTTAACAAAGTGTGTGACATCAGCGATATCTTTATTAAAATATGGTGTTATTTATTATATCAAATAGAAAAAATACAATTCTTAATATATTCTGTGATACTTACGAACTCCCACCTCATAATTGCCATTAGGAAGTTGTCGAGCATGTAAGGCATCATCAATATCCGTACAATCTAATTGATGAAATGCAACTTTTTAGTTCAGCCAAAAAAAAAACTAAATATATAAAATGCTTTCCATCCGTACCTGGAGGATCTATACTACAAATATTCAAGTTCCTCAAGTCCATTCGATCGCGCAGTTGGTCTTCATTAACTTTCCAAGCTTCCCTTTCGATTGGAAGATCACTTAAAACTTGTAATGAAAAATCTTGATGCGGAACGTCGTGTTCTAATAACAAGACTTGAGTTTCGGTATCCTTATCACCTGCAGAACCGAGCGCACGAACAAAATGACCCATTGGGTATCTAATTTTATATGTTATGTTAAAGCGAAACAACGACGATTGAAAATCTAAACCATTTCGAAATCAAAAATTAGCATACTTTGAATCTTTGGGCCAAGCATCAATTGAGACCAGTATTCTTTGCCCCATCAAATTTTGAGCCTGTCGTGTTCTTATCCTAATAAAAGGAATTCGCCTATCCATTGTAATAACTAAAACATTCTCTGACAATGTCGATGTAGAAGATCCTTGAACGGTTTGTTTTCTAATGAATCCACAATATCTGATTAATTTTTAATCAGAGTTAAAGTTTGAATAGACAACTATAATTAATTAAATAAATGCAATTATCATGTAGATCAAATATTAGGATACGGTCTCCAATTTCGCTTAATAATTCCGATCACTTTGCCAGTAGGTTGTGGTGCGGAAGTTAACATCTCTTCAACTTCGATATTATTATTTTCTTTAGCTTCTCCATTGGTCGACATATTTTCTTCCTCTAAGAAGATCACAAAACTTTTAAATAAATTGCAGATAATTATTCTACTTATCGAGAATATCTAATAATTTACCCACCTTCATCTACTATCACCTCGGTTGGCGTCTTAAGCCATTCCGTCCGTGGAAACAGTTGGATAGCAACAATATCCCCTTGTATTGCTCTATTCATATATTGACGACCGAGTATCATAATTTGAGTGTCAGTTCCATCAACATTCGCCATAATTGACCCCTACATCAAAAAATCTTATGTTAAAAGAATAACAAGTTGACGAAGCGTAAAAAATTTAACGATTATCAAAAATCAAACCTCAAGATAATTATGTGTGCTGATACTCAAACTTCCTTGATATAGTGATCCGTTTTTTAATCCATTGGAAATATGCGCTGAACTCAAGTGCTAAATATGAATTATGATTTGTAGTAGTAAAGAGCTCAATAAATAAATTTAAAATTTTTGATTGTTATTATTACCTCTTCATATGTAAACTCCTTATTTTTCGTTTCTTGATTATCGGCTGTATTCCCAAGCATATCAATTAATTCAGGAAAATCGACCATTCCTTCCACATACTGTCTAACTTTCGTGTAAAAAAGAATCGAGATTTTGAGCAATTAATATATAAAGTATAACTAAAGGCTACTTTCTATACCTGAAAAAGCTAGCAGTCCATCTTTTTTTGCTTTTTCCCTGTTCGCTACATCATCCGATAAAAGCAAAACTTTGGCAGTCCTATTTAAATGCGTAGAATACCACTTCACAGCCAATCTTATTGCTATAAAATAGTTTATTAGTATAATGATAATCGAAACTTTTCTAACATAGATAATATTACCTCTGTCATTTCTATCATTTGGAGATTCATCTTTAAGTCTGTCTGTATATGTTTCCCTAAATTAAAAGTATAACAATCAATGATCTAATGTTATATTATTGTAAATTTAGCATGCTAGCCTTTTTTTTTTTTTACCTGTGATGCTCATTCGAAAAAACATAAAAGCCACGGCTCGTGTCACTAATAATAGCTTTTAGACGATTATAGATAGGAAGGCTCAGATGCCGTATTTCTTCATATACAGTTTGCAAAACAATAACGTTTCGAATAGATTTATGCTCGATGATATCAATCTTTTAAGAGATTAATATTTTATAATGAAATGCGTTTTTTTTTTGAGCTCGCAAGGTAAATCTGGCAAACCTGATTCATAAATAAGTTGGTGTCCGCGACGATAAAGTGAGGCGAGTCTACTATCTTCGTATTTGACGGAATTACTCTCAGTATGGATTCAGTGTGAGAACATTGAGAGCAAGACTCGACAGAACACCATATATCTTCACGCAAATAATGTTCTTGTACTACTTTGACAGCGTTTCCTTTCTTTGTGCGCTTAATAAAACCTTTAGATCGAAGCATTTTGTTAACGTTAATGTGTAAAATGAAACTTTGTAGATCTTTGCTATTTATATAAATGAGATGATGTTCACGTGAGATTCGATATAGTTTTTTTTGGTCATTACCTATTTTAGATAGATGAATAGTTGTAAAAATTAACATATATAGAAATAATTGAATGAGAATCCCTGTTAATGTGGCGATAATCATGTCTGGGTTTTTCAATATTATTTATCGCTATCGCTATAATAAAGATTAAATATAAAGCCAAAAATCTATAACTGGTGAACAAACGTCAAATATCATCAAAGTTCCCTAAATTTTCAAGTTCTTTCTTTTTTTGTGAGAGCTCTTCTTCAAATTTATCTCTTTTTTTCTCCAAATCAGCTATCTCAGCTTCGAGTTGATGCATTTTTCTCTCGAAATGTTCGGCCTTAACATCCGTTTGCCGAAGTCTAAATTTTCAGATACCAAAATTATTATTGTGATCAAATGAATTCGATTTGATCCAAAAAACATACTTCTCTGTTGTGTCTCGTAAACTCTGTTCAGTGTTCTCCAACTCACTTTCAAGCAGGGCAACCTTTCGCTGAAGTGCCTCGGTGGTAGTCTTATTCGACTCGACTTCCTCCTTCAAATGCTTATCATCCGTGACTTTTTTCTCTATACGATTATTCTCCGCTCCCAAAAGTGTGATTTTATTTTGAAGCGATAGGACCGCTTGTTCTTTGCTTATTAACTCATCTTTGGTTTTCTTCAGCTCAGCTTCAGCTTCTTCTGCACGTTGGCTAGCAGCGTCAGCTTCAGCGCGAACATTATTAAGTTTCTATATTATGTGTGTTGAAATAATTGTACATAATAAAGTTCTATATATAAATTTTGAGCTATAAAATTTATTGAATAGAAGCAGCTCATTCTTGAAAGAGAAATTTTAAAACTCACTTCTCTAATTTTCTCCATTCAGAAATGTTTTAATCACTGAATTACCCAAATAATCGATAGTTATTTTTGACTGTGATTTTAGGGGAATGGGCCCTATTTGGGTAAGTAACTAAATCTGGCCAAATGCTTTTTTCGCACGCAATTGAATTACGCGCAGTCTGCAGTTTATTCACTTTCTACTATTGCATATTGACATAGCAGAAAAAAAGATGGTAAAAGGCTTACTATCGCGTACCTTGTCTGTCATTAAAAGCATAATGGTGTTCATGAATTTTCTTTCTTTGGTAAAAATCAACTTTAGAATTCTCTTGATTTTCCCATACATTGCCTTAATGCTTAATCAATCCTTTCATATTAGTTTGCAGGTCTTATTCTTATTGCAGTAGGTAATTTGGACACACAGTAACTCTTTGTTTAACAACAATCAAGGCTTAACAGCAACCAACGTATAATCTAAAGAAATTAATTATTGATGTTTTCAAAGGCTTTTATGTCTATAGCACCGAAGAACAAATTACGCACATTACAGCTTCTCCGATGCGATATCATCTTCCATATGCAATGATAACATTGGGTGGATTGATTTCGCTTGTTAGCTTTTTGGGGTGCTATGGTGCCGCCAATGAGCAACCCGTTATTCTGACCTTTTATTTTGGGATTTTATTCATATTGGTCGTTTCGCAAATCGGTGAATTTTATCTCGATTTCTATAATTATTTCATATCATCATCTTTTCCCGTTCTAATTTTATTATAGCCATAGGAAGTTTGGCATTTTCTTATAGACAAGACGTAAGTGACTATCAAACTCTCCAAATTCAATATGCTTAATTAATTTTTGATGTAATATTTCATTACATAGGTCGATTCAATTCTTGATAAAACTTGGTCCACAGCCTTTCAAGAGAACCCCAAACTAATCATCAATCTTGAAAAATATCTTCAATGCTGTGGATTCGATGATCTAAATGACCGTGCCGTTCCTCTCAATTGTTCTCGAGAATTTAAATTTGGTGTTCCGTGTCACGATAGCATGCGAGAGGCATTGATGAACAGCTTACAGACCATTGGTGTTGTAGGTATCGCCTTGGGAATCGTGGAGGTAAGGCTCTTTTTTAAAATCAACAAAATCCTCAGTTCATATATTTTGATCGTACATACGTATTGCATGTATGACTCGTTGCAAAAATGCAAATTATTTTTCTTTAAGGAGTTGTTTGGCTCATCTCTTTTTCTATCAAGAGAATAATTTTTGTTGAATAATTCCATCGCCTGATTTTTATTATCAGCTTACAGGACTTTTGTTTGCCGCCGTGCTCTTTATACGTCTTTCTGAAACTGAAGATGAGGCTAAACAAGCTTTACTTGACGAGACACGTTTGTTAGACCAAGAAATTAGTAATACCTATCAACGTCGCAGAATGTACACAATAGGATGAATGTGGAATTCTAGTCTTAGATGAGATACAATTTATTGATAATATACAAACACTAGAGAAAAAAAATCTTGTAAGCGGAGTTGTTCATGCTTTAAAAGATAAAGTTAGAATATTAATTAGCTATAAATGGTATTATTATTCAGTCCGATAGATTCTTTTGACTTCTAGAATAATACTGTAAAACATATAAATAGAGAAGATAAAAACGTTTTAGACAGATATAATGACAATTTCATCGCCAGATACGATATCATAATATGATAATTGGCGAAGATCATCATTTATTTCAACAGCGGATGCCATGTTTTCGCCTGGAACACTTTGTACCTACAATAAATTTGATCAAGCCATTAAATGTTCTCTATTGCAATCAGGATATATCGTGAAAAGAAATTATTTTAATTACCTGAGATTTAGCCAGGTAGAATAACTTTTGGTGGGAAGCGGGTATGCCAAATAATTTTTGTAGCAGATTTTTTAGATTCCGAATTGTCATAGTTCCTGAATTCATAAAACCGAGAATAAAGCAAAGCTCGAGATTTAACCAACGATATTATTTACTTAATAAATACCTAGTAGTTTTTTGGAAATTTTCTTGGTGGGTTGTTGGTCCAATGCTGAACGTGAAGTGATTGTCAATGCTGAAAAGGATATTATATGTATATAAGTGCATACTATTCATTATCTTTGAGCTTGAGAAGAAAATTCAATAATATGAAATTTACTGAGAAGACGATCTTTCAAGGCACTGCTTGATGCTCTGAGGCTCGAATCATCTGGATCTGGTGTCCCGTGAATATCACACAGTTCTCTGAATCTAGGATGTTGATTTTCTATTTCATTCATTGCAGATTTCAAATCTCGCACGATCAATATTAGGTAATATCGCTCAGCGTTAACTCTGTCGCCTGGAGATATCTACAAACTTTCTTTAATATATAAATGTAATAATATTATGAAATAAATTAATTGTTTTTCGTAACGTACGATGCTTCCATTCAATAAAGTCAAAGCCTTTATGCGACCAACAAGACTTATATTTGCTTCATCTGGCTTGATGTCTAGTTTCACGAGGAACATATTTGTAAACATGGAAAACTTTAGTAAACTCATTATTATGCTTCCAAAAATTTAATTTATTTACCTTTCATAAAGGGATTTTTTTTGATACGGAGTTCTTTTAAGGCAGGAAACTTATTCAATTCATCGACACTACGCCAACTCTGAATGTTATTGTCACCCACATTCAGAGATCGTAAATTGGCAAATTTCATTTTATTGTTCTGTCCATTGTAGTGGATTTCTTTTATCAAATTCCCGCTTAAATAAAGAATTTCCAGGCTGATTCAGCCAACAACGAAGCAAAGAGTAATGATGGTGATGTGATGAGAATTGTAAAAGGTAAAAGAGGAATCAAAAGGTAACAAATATCTCGTACCAACTTTTTCAAGTGTGCCAGATGCTCAATTTCCCTCCAATCTTCAATAATGTTGGATTCGAGATTAAGAATTTTTAAATTGTCAAATCCTTTAATTTTTTCGAGATTTTCGTTTTCAATATCACTATTAGTGGTGGATTTATCACGTAAATGTTTAATGTTGTTAAATCCCACTTGAAGATTCTGAAGGTTTTTTAGGCAAGGTTCTAGGATTTCAAGCTGAAATTTAAAGATGCATATTAAGTTCTAAGATTTAAATAGCAAAGTATTAGTGAAAAAATATAGTAACCTGATTCCATGGAATACGTGTATAGTTAAGCGACAGGCTAGTTAAATTTTTAAATGAATCTACAAAATTCGGAGTTTCGTGCAAGACTTGAAATCGGTTGTAACTATAAAAATATTCGAAATTTTGAGAATGAAAATACACAAATGCAGATCGTTATATTTTTTGATATACTTGCTTTAATCGTAAAACTTCAAGTCTCTTTAGCTGTGCACATATCTGGGCCACAGTATCAAAATCCGAAAACAGGTTCTTTGACAAATTTAAATCCACAATATCTATTGAAAAGTATTGGTTGAAATCAATGAGAAAAAAAAAATAGACAATTCCATAGGAAAAAATTGCAAATACTTGGACAGACTGTTTCTATTTCGCCGGGTGCGCCTGCATTAGATATTTGCTCAAAGGATAAACCCACTTCAGTGAGGCGATCTAAATGACTACAAGCAAAGAACAAAGATGGATAAATAATCAAATAGATCTTGAAACACGCGTTTCATCAATCGTCTTAGTTTTGTTATTATTCACCGTTGCCTACGTCGAATTTTTTCCCAGCCCAAAACTTCTACTTCGATTTTTGTATTTCCAGCCCAATAAAGTGATTCTAAATCTTTCTGAGCATCGTAAGGAATCTCATTTATTGTTGTTTTATTTGATGCATCATCGTTATCTCCTATGTATTTCTCTGTTAGAGCGGATAGAAAGCTTCTTCCAGTATTGATTTTTGACGAGAAACGGATAAAAGAGCCACTATTGGGTATACTACAAATATTAAATAAGAAGAGAAAAAGTCGAATGATTATTATACTTGCTAACAAGGCTCATTATGTGTGGTCAAGTCTTAGTAGAACACTACTTTCAATTGCCCTGACTCACCTACAAGTAAAGTAACGTATGCCGTTGTGGACTCCATCGTGCTTTCCCCTCGAGACACTATCCCATTCAACCCCCAGCCAGTCACCTTTGGTAGGAGGAACGGGACCAACATAGCGAACAGTTGCAAACTGATCTTCGAACAGTATTCTTTTGTTCAACAGTGCTAATAATTTCTCGGATTCTGACATAATGACGATAAAAACAGATTTCTGCTAATCAGAATAAAGATATCAGTTGGATGATCTTTTTGCGAAGACATACCGAGGTATTTTTTATTGAGGCTCACCTAAAAGGGTGCACAAGACGGAAGAAATGCAGTCGAAAAGAACATATAAAGTAACCATAAATGTTTACATGTCATATAAATTTAATAAAGACTTTTATTAAACGGCTTTTGTGTGTTTAGAATGCTATCGAATGTCTAAATACTCTACAAAGTAGGGCTTCAATTTTAAATGCCCTTGAAAAAACCGGCCCACTGAACTTCTCCGACGGTTTATCTTTGTCGATAAATAATTTTCACACGATTGGTTATGAGGTTGAATTTCAATACGCGTTTTAAGATGTAAATTTAATCTTTATTTCCATTTAATAAGCTATTTAATTAAAAAAAAAAGCCAAAGGATTATGATAAATTAAATGTTATCCATGTTGCTGGAACCAAGGGAAAAGGTTCTACATGTGCTTTTGTTGAATCGATAATCAGAAACTATCCTCTGAAGAATAAGCGAATTCGTACTGGTATTTTTTATTATTGAATTTTATGATGATTACAGGGTGCCTTATGATTTTAGTAATAATAAATTGTATCGTTTGATCAAAGGTTTATACACTTCACCCCATCTTGTTTCTGTCCGTGAACGTATTCGCATGGATGGAAAACAAATAAGCGAGGAAAAGTTTACTAAATACTTCTTTGATTGTTGGGATAAATTTTACAATACTACTACTACTGTTAACGATCATGTAAGTCACCATCATCAATTTTTAACTTTAATCTTTTTTAATAGTAATAATAGCCAAAACTATGTATATTCTCACGCTCAACAGGAAATAAGGATTTAATATATATAAATCAATCTTTCCGCAGATGGACGACAATTTTCCAAATTATTATAGACTTGTCACGCTAGTCGCCTTTCATGCATTCGTAGAAGAACAGGTTTTTCCTCTTTAATATATGTTAAATTTATTGATCGATTGACTGAAGGATTTCTTTTCTTATTTTAGGTGGATGTGGTTATCTTGGAAGTTGGAATAGGAGGTGAATACGATACTACAAATGTCGTAAAATCACCAATTGTTTGTGGTATCACGTCTTTAGGATATGACCACCAATTGTTATTAGGAGAGACGATCAACGAAATTGCTTGGCATAAAGCTGGAATATTCAAAGTAAATATTATTTTTTCTTTTGTGCATCATAATCGGTCTGCTTTATCCAAATTTACTATATCAGAAAAAAGTACCTGCATTGACCGTTGAACAACCAAAAAAAGCGTATGAAGTATTAAAGCAGCGTGCAGCTGAAAAAGAGGTGATTTATTCAATAGACTCGAAGAATTCTTTTCATATTCGTATTGATAATATATTTTTAATTTCAGGCACCTTTAACGATAGTAGACACTCATTTAACGGATAACATTAAATTAGGTAAAATAAAAAAAAATTAATAAAGCATTGAATTCCTATTTATAAAGATGATCTTTTGATAAACATTAGGCCTAAATGGAAGACACCAAAAAATTAACGCAGCACTTGCGATCGAATTATGTCGCGTCTGGTTTCAAACGTGTCATAGTAACCTTAATATTGGAGGATTGTCATCAGATAAAGTGCCACAAGAATTTCTTATCGGATTAGAAAAAACCCGATTGTCCGGTCGTGGGCAAATTATAAAAATACCGACAATGGATCAATTGACTTTCTATTGCGATGGTGCGCATACTGTTGAAAGTATTCAAGTAGGATGTATTTTCATTCAAAATTATTAAAATACATTTTGATTTTATTATTATTGTTTAAATATGAATTTGATTAATATTAATTAGTGTTGCATGGATTGGTTTCGAGAAACGGCTTTTCAGGATTATAGCTCGTAAGATTATTGATTTGAACTACAGTCATACCTCTATAATCACATCCCCTATAATTACATCACATAAAAGCCTCTAGTCATATCCCCTATAATCACATCACATAAAAACCTCGAATCACACCTATTATGCTTATAGAAAAATACCTATGTACTTTAAAAATTACTATGTCCCTCAAAGGTGTGTTTATAGAGGCATGACTGTATTATTTGTAATGAATGATTAATGATGATTGGGTCATTGGGAAAATTCAGTAGAGATAACGCAAATCAAGAAAATTCAGCAGCGCCAACAAATGTTAAACGAATACTGCTCTTTAATTGCACGGGTAAACGAAGTGGTCTGGATTTGTTAAAAGTGATTACTGCTTCACCATATATCCAATTCGATTATGCTGTTTTTTGTGCAAATGTGGTTTATTCGGATAATCATTCTGAACCAGGTAAATTTGCTCAAAACTAGATTCGGTATTGGATTTCAAACCAGACTAACTTCCCAGATTTTTATAAAATAGATTCAAAAGGACCCGCACTTTCTACTATCTCACTGACAAATCAAGAATCATTTAAGAATGACTGGCTAAGCCTAATTGCGCAACAGGAAACAAACAATAATATTCTGGAACAGCGAGCTCATCTATTCCCCTCGATTGAACACGCTATCAACTGGATAAAGGAATATGTTGTCCGTGGCACGGAAAATAATACTCACGTGCAAGTGCTAGTGAGTGGAAGCTTGCATCTTGTAGGTGGTGTCCTAGAAGTTTTGGGTGTTGATGTGGAATAAAAATATATTTTATCGTCAATAATTGTTCTGTTTGCTACTATAAATAACCATATTTATCGAATAAGCAAGAACATTTTCAAATAATAATAATAATGATAACACGTGTTCAACTTTAGAAAATTTCTTTCGTCAATCTTTTTCACTACCTATTGGTAGTGATCGCTGTAAAAGCGACGATAGTGTAAATTATTTTTTTTATTATCATGTCTTTTTCGCTGGAAAAAGACTAGTTGTGGGAGAGAGAAGATTAAAAAATTAAAAGAAATTAGTGAAAATTAAAAAAACTATAATTAATTATATATTATTAACTCTAGTAAAGTACTTTTGGGAATGTGTGAGATGATTATAATGATGCAATTAATTAATTAATGATTATTATAATTATTATTATTATTATTTAAACATAATGCAAAAAGTTACAAGAGAAGAAAGAAAGAGGAAGATGCCGATATTATTTTTTTTTTAAGAAAAGGGATGCTCAAAATAATTGTAAATGATTATAGAAAGCGCAAGATATTATGTTTGCGCGGATCGATCGCGAATTTTGAAAATAAAAATATAGCGAAACGAATTGAGAACGAAGATCGGCACCCCGAACGAGTGGTGGATAATAAAAATAATGATGAGTATGATTAATAATGTTGATTATGATAATAAAAAATAATGCTATGCGAAAAAAATAAATGAGAATTAAATCTAATTAATTAATTTCTATATAATGTGGGAATGCATATTTCCAGAAAAAAACGTAATCATTCTATATATTATAAATGCCGTAATTATAGTGCCTCTATAATGTGTTTGTGTTTTTGATTATAAATGTGGATGTAAAAAATGTTTTTTTTTTATAAAGGGTTGCTGACAGAAACAATAAATACATGAGAAAAAGATAAAATCATCTTTTATTGTTTCTGTCATTTTTGTCATATTGATAGTATTATTTGTTGTTATTATTATAATTATTAGCTTAAAAAGATTTAACATATTTTTGGGAATGACAATCCGGACCCTTTCTTATAATTGATTTCTTTCATATGATTTCTATCGGTGATGAATATGGTGTATCTATATAGTTGATTATAGGTAAAATAGCAATAGCGTACGTCCTTTAATAGAATACGAAGTATTTTTGTGATTAGTCTAGTGAATATTGAATAATAATAAGAAAAGAAACGACGAACTAAAAATTTCATTACCGATCCAGCCGGTTTTTTTAGACATTCCGTATGTGACCGGCACATCTATTTCGAAAAAATTTTTGGGGAGAGAACTTAAACCCCAGTTATCCCGGATGAAGAACCTCCTCCTAGGGAGAGAGAAGCGGTCACACCGTTGTGCGAATGTTCCAAGTGGTATTTCAAACCATTAAGATTTTTGTACGACTTGGAGCAACCCCCGTGTGGACACTTGTAGGGCTTCTCCGCAGATTTGTCACCATTTCCGGACTATTGTTACAAAAGAGTATAAACATCAGATTGGTAACAGTTATTCGTAGAAACAATCAAACAATACATTTTTTATATTTACTTGTTCTGTGTTATGCCCATGAGTTCGGTGATATTTGAGCCCATTTGCATTTTTGTACGTCTTTGGACATCCTTCGACACAGCATCTGTATGGTTTATCAGCTTCTATTTGTGGTGGTGGTAGTGGTTGTGCAGCAGGAATAGCATTTGTAAGATTGGCAGAGATGGAGATGGCGTCGTCAATCACGACTGGAACGTTAGCTGCGGCAACTGCGATTGGTCCACCGAGAGACTATGAGATCGGTGAAATGAATGATTCGTGCATTAGTATTAGTAAGTGATACTTAATTTAATAAATTATATGCATCAAATAATTAAAAAAAATGTGTTGTATTTTACTTTTATGCGTCACTAATAAAAAAATATCTTGACGTGCGAAATAGTAAAAACATTTTACGTTACATTCAAATACTTCATACCTTTGAAACTTTTCGTCTCGCTGACTCGGCAGTGACAGCAGGCCTTTTTTTAGACGACTTTTGTGGCGACATCATTGACGTATTAGTACCGAGATTATCATTGACATCCCAGAAAGTAATTTCGGTGTTCATTCTATAAGTAATTGAAAAGTAATAAGAATACTCGTTTTTTACCTGTAAGAAGAAGAATTAGATATTAATAAATTTTTATGTACCTTTTTTGATTAATCTCCATTTCAGAGCCATCTTCTCGATTCCTTTTCATTCCTCGTTGCTGGTCGATAGGATAAATTGATGACAACGAGACAGCAGAATAACCTAAAGAAAAAAATATCATAAGAATTATATACAAATGAAATAAGAGATCAAGATTAATTAAATAAAAATCACCGTATTTACCATATACACCTGAAGAGGCGGGATTATCATTCACTAATGATGTAGCAGCAGCATCCATGGACAACGACAATTCATTATTTAATGGCGTTGATAGAGATGGGGCTGACAGCCGACGTTGTTCCCCTGGAACTTGACCAGATATTATTGAAGATTGACCACCGATATTGAAATTTGATGAAGATGCAGCCGCTAAATTTTCCCTTTCGCCAATAGACGAAGATTGAGGCCACAAACTACCAAAATTGGCTGTTGGCGTTGCAGGCGCTGAAGAGGTAAGACGCGCACCACCAAGTTGATTATGACGTTGCTGTAATGAATGACTTTCTAATACAACATGACTACCCAAGATTGATTTATTATTACTATTATTGTTCACTTTAATATTATTGGGTGATGTTCGACTATTGTGGCTGCCAATAGCACCATTGTTAGTATTTGTGTTTGCCACCGAGTTATTTCGTCGTGGCTTTTGTGCAGATCCCCGATTACCAGTTGACATCATCACGCCTGAGCTACCATAATTGCCACTATTATTATTGTTATTGATATATTCAGAATTATCAAGTATAGTTGCTGTTGGCGTACACGAAAATGAAGACGCGCGTTTTGGTCGTGTAGCAGCAGCATGGAAATTGGTAAACTGGCTGTATTGGTTGGGATCTGTGGGAAACACTTGTTGTTGTTGGAAAAATGAATTATTAAATGGAATACTCATCGAAGAACAAGAAGATAAAGACGAAGAACGTCGAGTACATGTTAGCCTACCATAGTATGGTTGTTCTAAGATCGAATTGTATATTGAGGAGGAGGCGGTGGCTGATCTGCGGGTCTGTCCTTGATTTAATAATCCTCGATTGAGTACCATTGCAACTTGATTCATTGCACTTTCAGCTCTTCCAGTAGCACTATGTATTGATGGCATCGTTTGCAGAGGTGACGCGATTTGAGGAGATTGTTGAATATTCATATGGGTCAAATCTCGATCATCAGAGAACACTAATGTTGATGAATCGGACGCGTAATTACTATTATTCAAAATTGTTGGCGTTACTCCTGATTGTGTAGAATTTACAGAAGTAGTAGAAGACGACGACATTGGTGATGGGCGCTGTGGTTCCTGTAGTTCAGACTCTTCTTTATTATTATTGTGAGATCGATTATTCAGCTGTCCAAAAACTCGGATATCCTGTAAATTTACTGAAATTGAAGTTTCAGGGATCCTATCCGTTATAGATTGCCGCTCGACATAATTCAATTGATGCGCGGGATCTTGTAAACGATCTTCTTGGGGACTATGTGGTGCTGAATTCGGAATTGATCCAGCTGAGCTAACGGAAGCTGCGGAATTCCATCCTTCTTCAGCAACTATTGTTGTTTTCATTATTGTAAAATAAATATTAATTCAAATAAGCAATTGATTGATTATACATTCATCTATCCATAATAATATGATATAAAAATATACATGTGAAACAATATTTACTTAATCCGTAAGTATTCTCGAGATTTACTCCCGTCTCTTCAAGGTATTCGCTGTGCACTACTTGTTTATGATCGATCAAAGAGTTGAAATCATCAAACACCAATCCGCAACAATGACAATTTTGGAAGAATAATTCTTCTTTGCGTAAATCACAAGATGATGAGGTTTTGATTCCTTCAGAGAAACTTTGATCATACGAATTATAGTATTGCTCCTCTGGGGGACAAAAAAAAACGATATCTGATGGACTGTTGATAGAGAAAAAAAAAGAATAAATTAGTTTGGTTGTTGATTTATCTTTTGTCACGTGAAAAATATCACGTGTACAAGCTTCTTATAGTTCACGTGAGCGTCAGCACATGGACCTTGGCAAGGAAGCCAAGCAAGGAAACGCAAGCGTGAAATAATGAATGCTCAAAAGGTAATGTAGCATTGATCACGCCTACGTTTTCTTTGATAGCAACCACAAAGTGAAAGGGACACTGTCGTGATTGCTTTTCATTCATCACATAATCCAAACACTTTGCCCGAATGACTATAATTACTTCGAATCACAAATATCAAGAACTTACTGGATTGAGGGATCCAGCTGAAAGTTCCTCGAGTCTGAGAGAGCGCTGTTCAGTTGTTGGTTGCCCAAAAAATGTTCTTGAGCAAAAGTCGACGTCGAACTTTGTTCAATAGCGTGCGGCATGATTCGTTTTCTTTATGGTTTAGTGTTATGAATATGTAGATATACACAAGAAATATATGTAATGCCTTTATAGTGTGTAGTGAGATAGGTTGTATTTTTAGCGAAGCTGTTGTATTCAAGATTAATAAAGCCGAGAGTTTAAAACTGATCAAAATGTCCCCCTTTTTGTATCCCGATCGACGACGTATTGTGAATGGGATAATGGGTGAAACAAAATAGACGAATGAAACGTTACGAATTAGGAAAACAGCGGTTTTAGATTTTAAATCTGTGTGTTAAAAAAAGAATTACGTATGTTTAATTTTTGAAATTGTTATTATTAGAGTTTTTTTGCTTCTATGTTAGAGCTGTAGATGTTATTACTGATCTTTAATATTTGTTATTATTATTATTTGTGTTAATGATGGTGTGTTGATAATGGAAATGAATGGTGACAATGAAAACACTGATAATAATGAATATTATTGATTAGATGACGACGCGAGAGGATAAGTTAAGGAAAATTGGTCGTTACAAAATATAATAATATGATGATGTTGATAATGTTGATAATGATGGTGTAGGAATCAAAAGGCAGAACTTTATGGCAAAAGGGCCTGATGATGATGAGGTATGATGATTTATTTATTATTATTATATTCTTGGATAGAAGCTTACAAATCGCGAAGACTTCTATTTTTTTTTTACTTTCTCCTTTCTTTTTTTCCTCGAGGATGAAGAAAAAAAGAAATGGCCAAGTCAAGAAGAAAAAGTAATAGTTAAAAAAGTAATTAATAACAAAAAAGTTGTCGTCGTTACGAAGAGAGGAAAAGAAGAGCGCGAGTCGGCGGAAATTAGAATATAATGGTCGGTAGGTTGGTGTCGTTATGCTCGTTAACAAAGGAGGGAGAAGCGAGAGAAAGAAAAGAAGGATTTTGCTGTTTTTGTGTCAGGCATATATAAATATATTGCTTGGTTGAATGCAACTCGAAAAAAATATAATAAATAATATTTCAATCATTCATCAATCAATTCTGATTATTATTTCTAGCGTTGCCCTATAAAACTTTAATATTAATATCTTATATAACATGTACTGTATATACCTTAATCAAAAAAAAAAAAAAAATGCAAAGTTTGGCTGAATACTTTGAATACTAAGTAAGGCACAGGGCAACCTTCATCTGCATGTATACATGTATGTATGTAGGAGAGCATAATAAATAGACAGACAACACACACACACAAAAAAGAAACATTGACATATGATAGATAGTCTAAAAATATTACTATTAACAATAACAATTGGGGAAATTTTTTTACATGTCTGTATATGTAAATAAATAATAATTACCATTATCATTAGATAATCCTGTTATCTAACCTTCCTTCAATTGATTGTTAATTTAATAATGCCATAAATCAATAATTTTTATATATATTCTCTCCCTATTTACTCGGGTCTACAGAATCATGAATTGAATAATAGGGAAATTTATGGATTGTAAAAATTTTCGCGTTGAGAGATTCGGTTGATTTGTACTACTCCTTGCAATTTTAGGCGAGTCAATTGCAGCAATTTGCTTGTTTCTCATAAAAGATGGCAAACGTGGCAGCTAAAACACCATCTATTATCAATCATTATCAATCAATTGATCAATCATTCAACCAACCATATCGTATCATAATGACAATACATTCTCGAAGCGGCACGCAGACAAAATTGGTACATTGTTCCATAATGATAACAACAACAACAATAATAATTTATTATTAGAATATTATCCCCTTTTTGACAGCTAATATTAATTTTATTAATTATAGTAATATGAATCAAAATAACGCAACTTTATTTCAGCATCGGTAACTATTGTCATATCAATATCTTATCAAACAATAGATCGATTGCTCTTTCCACTGTTCGATAATAAAATTCACTTTGATTACACAACTGATCCCGCTATATTTTTTTTTCCTAAAATTGACAGTTATTAATTAGTTTTTCCCTGCATTAATTAATTTTTTTAATTAAAATTATCTTATATGTTTATATGTTTGTAGATATTGAAAGGGGAAGTAATTTTTTATCATTACTAAAGCGAGCCGCAACTGATTTTACAACAATCAGAATGATTGATTTCATTGGACATTAAAATCTTTTGGTTGTATTATGATTGTGGTTGTACATTTATTTTGAAATTAGACATTAAAAAAAAAACAAAATTTAGATTTTCAATTGTTTGTTTGTTAAAGACATTAAATCTTAAATTTAAAACTCGAATTTACTATTGACCACCCTTTCCTTAAATTATCAGGCGACCATAATAATAACCATAAATAAATAAATAAATAAAATAAATAAATAAAATAAATAAATAAAATAATGGAAGGAAATAATACATCGTGTATAATATGCATTGATTCAAAATTTCCATTGTGTGTATGCATTATTTGCAATTTTAAAAACAACAAACATTCATTAAAGTCTTGATAGCTTTTCTATTGCAAATATAAATTATTAGTATATTATAGATTGTATTTATTTATTTATTTACGTGTATTTATTAATATCTTGTTCTTGTTATACTGGTTATTGTCGTTGTTCCTCTTTTAGGAATTCATAAATGCACTCTATTCCCATTTTCAAAATCAACATAGGGAGTGAAAGTAAAAGGTCGCAAGAAATAACAAGTTTTTCAATTAATTCATTTTTGCTTGTATAATTTACAAAATTACGGTTATAATAATACAATCAGATCTGATTTGATAATAATAAGAAAAAACCAATTCCCTATTTTGATAATAAATGCATAAATACATACATAAAAAATTCCACGCGAATAGATCTATATATACATATATATTGATAGACCCAGAGTGGTAAGTTTGGTTGTCGTAAAAATGAATTTGCGCAAACAGAATTATGTTATTTCGTTCTGTTGCAATAAAAAACCCGAAGTACAATAAAAAGATAGTAACTGCGCATATATTGTGACCTTTTTTAACATATGTATATGTACCGACACTCAAATTGTCGATCTTCATAATATAATGACGAAAGCACGCATAAATCTTGTGGTGCGCCTGCGTGTTTGTAATAATTGGCGGATCGTACTTTGAAATAATAAACAAACAGAAAACAATAACCAAACGTTATTGTTGTTGTTCTTATGTAATAAATATAACCTCAAAGGTGATGTTGAACATTGTGATGACTACAATAATAATCTCTCATGCTCTCCTATTTCCACTTAGCCCCATCACACACAACTTGCACTTTTATCCCCTCCCCTCCCCCCCTTCGCCGCACTGTTCAACAATAAAAATATGTGTGTTTGTGTGAAGTTTGCGAGTGACCGCATCACCACCAGCTGATAATGGACAAACATTCAAGTAGTGTAACTCATGATAATAATAATGGTAATCGTGGCAAATCGTAAAAAGTGTTCCATTAAGAGTTAGAATAAATAATCAGGAAATCAACAAACTTAAAGCAGGAAATCCTAAACCATAAATATATCAAGATATCCATTATAACCAATGTTGGTATTTTTATATTTTTTTTTGATTGGTTCTTATAAGCAAATGGTATCAAATGACAGTAAACAATCTTAAATGACTGCGTTGCATAGCATTATGCAAACGACTGAAGTGTAGATGATCAGTTAACATAGATATGATGATTTATTGGAGATTATGTTAAATGTCCATTGTAATGCGATCACTAAAATGGACTTGACGCGTCTAAAAGAAACAATGCAAGCAAAAAGTAAAATTTGGATTAGTTTGATTTCGCGATTTTTCATATTATAAAATGTACATGTCAAAATGAATAAGTCAAAACTATAACGATGGATCAAAAAAACTCGCAATAACCAAATCTCGCTATATAAGGGGATCGTTATATAGAGCTTTTGACTGTTATTACAACAAAAATGATACATTCAAACTTCTCTATAATCACCTTTCAGTTAGGTGACTTTAGAGAGATGTGACTATAAAAAAAGAATAAATGTATTTGTAACAACTAATAATTGTAACAATCGTGTTTTAATTGGCTAATTAGGACCTGAGTTAGGGTTAAGGTTAAGGTTAAGGTTATGGATATGTGATTAGTTAATATTGAAGTTGTTACATGTAATAGTTGTTACAATTAGATTGACCCATAAAAAAAACACTTACAATTAATTTAAATAATGATAAAAGAATGTGATTATAAAAGGACATAAAAAAATACTTACAATTAATTTAAAAGAATGTGATTATAAAAGGATTTGGCTATATCTAATATTTCATAATATATTTTCAAAATTTAATGAAAAACATCAAGATGTATTTGTTATTTATATATATATTTATATATATTTTAAGATATATTTGTATTTATATATACTGTATAGTTTCGAAATAAGTATCACTTTTTGAAGTTTAATTTTGGCAAATTTAAAAAATATAATTTAATAGAATCTCTCTTTAAATCATAATACAAAAGATGATTTTTTATTTGAATCAGATTATAAGAATAATATTAAAATTAATAATGAATATCAAAATATTATCAAAAAAATAATATATTAGACTTTGAATTTAAAAAAGAATAAATATTATCTTTGCTATTAAATAATATTTATTTGCACTTTTTGAAAGATTGAACTCTAAATTGGAAAATGATATTTATTTTCATATATCATTTTTACTAGTAAACTTATTTATAAATTCTTTTTAAATTTTTTATTTGTCATATAAATACTTATTAATTTTGAATAAAATTACTTAATTAATTTTTATTTGTTTTTTATTTTGTTAAAACAAATTATTTTATTAAAATAAATAAATAATATTATTCAAATTTAATTAAATATTGCTATTTGAAAGTTATATTTTAATTATTATTATAAATATATAAATTTATTTTGTAATATTTTATAAGTTTATATAAACTTATATAAGTTTGTATAAATTTATAAGATTTCAAAATATTATATTTAAAAATTTTTTTGATATAACCAAATTTTTTTATAGTTATATTATATAAAAATTAGATTATAATTATTTTTTTTTAAAAATTAATTAACTATAATAAAAATATTTTAAATTATTTATAATATAGAATTATATATATAATTTTATTAATAAAATATAGTAAAAATTGAAATTTTTGTTTATATAAAAATTTTAAATTTTATTAATAAAAATTTTTTATTTTTATATCAAACAAAAATTACAAGTTATATTTTAATATATATTTTTTTTGGAATTTTTCTGACAAAGTTATTAAAGTTATTACAAAATTTTTTTATAATTAAATATAAAATTAATTATAAAAAATTTTTGTAATAACTGTCAGAAAAATCTAAAAAATTCAGAAAAAACATGTATTAAATATAATATGATCTTTGAAAACTTTTATATAAGACAAAAATTTTAATTTTTACTATATTTTATTAATAAAATTGTATAAATAATTCTATAATTTTTGTTAATTACTGTAATTATATTTATTTATTTTAATTTTTTATTTATTAAATTTATTATTAATAAAAAAAATTAAATATTATATAAAAAATATTATTTTTTATATAATTCAAGTAATTTATATTCAACAATTTGTTTTAATTTTTAAAATTATTTAATTCAATATAGAAACAAATTTTTTTTCAAAATTTAATTAATAATTTTATAGAGCTAGCTTATTATAAAAAACAAATTATTAGTTAAATATTGAATTAAAAGATTTTAAAATTGTTGAATATAAATTACTTAAATTATATATAAAGAAATTTTCTAGACAAATTTGTTTGAAAATAATTTATAAATTAAGAAATAGCTGGAATTAAAAAAATATAATTATAAAAAAATGTAATTATAATCAAATTTTTTATAATTATCATTCTTGAAAAAATAAAATTAAATAATTATTTTATTATATTTATATATAAATAAAAAGCAAAATAAGATAATTATAGAGAAATATAACTATAAATTAATATAATTATAAAGAGATTTGATTATATATAATATGTAATTATATAATATAAAGATATAATAATTTAATAATTTTTATATAATTTATTTTAATTTAAAATAAATAATACTTAATAATCAAAAAATTTGCAATTTAGAGATCAATTTTATTAAAAAAATTAAAATTTTCTCTTTATATTAAAATTTATAATTTTATTAAGAGATAATTTTTGTTTTTATATTAAAATAAAATTCATAAGTTATAGTTTAATATATATTTTTTTCAGATTTTTTAGATTTTTTCTAAAAATATTGTTCTAATGACAAGTTATTATAAAAATTTTTTCAATTAAAAATAAAGTTTAATTTGCAATAATTTTGTTATTAAAATAACTTCTTCAGAAAAAATCTAAAAACTTTGAAAAAAAATATATATTAAACTATAATTTATAAATTTTATTTTAATATAAAAACAAAAATTATTTCTTAATAAATTTATAAATTTTAATATAAAGAGAAAATTTTAATTTTTACTATTATTATCATTTTAGTAAACTTTTATTAGCTTTTAAATATAAATTACATATTTTTTATGTGTTTTTAATCAGATAGAAGAATTGTTATATTTTAACTAAAGATTTTATGTGTTTTAATATTTTTTAAAGATAAAAGAGATTAATTTATTAAAGATTTTATAATTAATTATCTAAAGATAGGTAATGAAATATTCGTATTATTGAACAGCTAGAATGAATTCAGAAATCTTTTTTTAATTCAAAATAATTTATTATTAAATAATCTTCTTTTATCAATTAACTTTTAAAATAATTAACTTTTTTTTTATCAAGTTTCTAAATAATAATAATCAACTTTACAAAGTAATGATAAAAAATTAATTATATTAAATAGAAAATATTGCTTATTATAGATAAGAGATCTTTTAACAAAAGAATACAAATAAAAAAGTAAAAAAAAATATTTAATGCTTGATTGAAAAACTTCAATTCAAGACTTTATAATATAACTTATTTTTAAAAAGATTTTGTTAAAAGATAATTAAATTATTAGATAATTAATTAATTAATTAATTAACTAACTAACTAAGATATATATTATATTTATATAAGTTATTTGTTATTCAATCATCAAAATCTAAAACTAAATTTGATTGATATTATCATTATGTGAAAAATACTTGTTTATTTGTTTCACTTGTTTACTTGATCATTATATATTACTTGTTTTGATATTATATATAATTTATAATTAATATTAATTAAATTAGATAATATTAATCAATTAACATGTGTTTTCTATATTAAAGTTATATAATAATTAATAATATGAGATAAAAAAGATAGTATGAATAAAATATGAATAGTATGAAATAAAAAAGGATGTGATCTACAAATCACATGGAAACTAACTATCCAATTAAAATAAAGTGTAATAAATCATGTGATATGTAAAATTCATATCACAACACTATGTTTTATTAATAAATTATTATATATAATCTACTCTAAATTTATTTAATATTAGAATTCTATTAATATTTTATAATGCTCAAAGTGCAAATTCATATAATTTATCTTCACTATAGTGAATTTCATTAAATCCGACTACTTATTATAGTAAAGCAATGCATCAAAACAGAATTTTTATATCGTTATTTTTGTTAATTATAAAATTAAAGAAATAAGTTACCAGTGATAACAAGATACAATGAATTTTGTATAACGATAAATTAATTGTGAAAATTATTAAATAATAAAATTTAATTAATAACAATATCGAATCAAATGAATATTGTGAAACCAATAACAAAATACGTGATATAACATCCAGGATTATTCAACGTATTTACCTTTAAACTATATGCCTTCAAACAATGAACAAAAAAATGGTATTTATCACATTTAGAGACCAAAACTAAAGTTTTGGAGCTCGTTTGACGTCATGATAGTTTTGAAAATTTCAATCTTACACATACAAGGTATTTGATTTCTGTATTTGTCGGTGAAATTAACTTAATTCAGGCCAAAACTATCATTAATTCGAGCCGGAATTACAAATTGGACACCCTAAAATTTATAGTCAGTCGATTTTTTCGATAGATGAACACATTCTTAACAAATCGAAACTGTTTTCTGAATATACTACACTATTTCTTGTCCAAGCAAGTCAAAATCATAAATAGTAATTCTTCCAAAAAAGTCTGTACTAGACTCGAACACAATTTTCAATTTCTCTATCAAATTCAAATTTGAACTATCATTATCATTTGTAGAAATCGGAAAGCTGTTTATAAATAAAATCTCGAGTTAAAAAAATTCATCACAAAAGCAACGCAAAACAATAAATAAGACGAAATCGAGAAAAAAAAGGATATTTGCACAGTATTCACATCCTCGGGATAAATGTTAGTAATCAATCGATAACTGAATCCATCTTTCGATTCCTCCTTTGCTGCCTGCTCACTTTCAACCCCGCCGTAAACTGAACAGTTTTTCCCCGCAAATCCACCTTGAAACATTATTCGAATTTCGTAGAGGTTTACCAGTCGTTGGAAATCAATAATTATGAATTGCGAGGCACCCTGAAATCAAAATTTCTTATTGATATAATTGAATCTATGAGAGGAGTAGTTGATATTCTATTTTAACCTGATTCGAATTCCAACATGTCTCGTGATTGCGATCAGTCAAGAATTGTTTTCCATAGTTTGTAACATCACGATTAAGTACTGAACTGACTCTTCGATGATATTATTTTTGTAAAAGGATCAATATAATCAAATTGACAAACCAAATATAAAGATAATTTGGTTAACATATCCTACTTTATCCTTGTTTCGGGTGTAATCAAACTTTGAATAAGATTATTTCTCACTACAGCCATTTGAGATTTTGTTGATAGAACAACAAATTAGTCTTTGGTGTGCATTTTGCACAAGACCCACGTGCTATAATACATATCGATATAGATTGTGCAACAACTGTTGGTAGGTACGATATAATATACTAACGCTAATATACTAATTCTAAATAAATTGATACCTATAAAACAAATAATCGTCAAAATGCCAGTAATGAAATATAAGAAGAAACTCAGAGTAGCTATTTTGACGGCTGATACATTGAAACACCAGAAATTACTGTTAGAGAAATACGGAAATTATTTTGACCTTTTTTCCAAACTTTTTCAAAACGCAAAAAATAACAATATTGACAGTAGCGAAAATGCAATTGATAAAATTAAATTGGAGTTATTGTCGTTTGACGTCATGGAAAAAATGGAATATCCGTCAGTGAGTGAATTGAACGATATTGATGGAGTATTAATTACCGGATCAGGTAACAAAGAGAAAAAATATTTTTAAATAATTAATTAAATAATAATTGAATTATTATTATTATTATTATTATTATTATTGTAGTTTCATCAGCATACGATGATGAACCATGGATTCATGGTCTCGTAAAATACACAAAAGACTTGATCGAAAATCACAAGCATGTAAAATTAGTTGGTGTGTGTTTTGGACATCAGATAGTTGGTAAGGCGCTGGGCGTGCCTGTGGTAAAAAATCCGTTAGGTTTTGAGGTAGTTACTTTCGTTTTCTTTCTTCGAATTGATTTTTTTATTAACCTTTAGATTCATTAAGGTTGGTGTGCACAAAATCACGTTGACCGATCCCGGCAAAAAATTAGCAAAGGCCGATAATGAGTTTTTGGTAATGCAAATTTGATTTTATCATGTTCATAATCAAATCAAAGTTTACTAATTAAGTTATTATTTTTGTATACCAATGAAAAAGAATTTACATCAATTTCATAAAGTATATTTAAATTTTATCATGCTTCTTTCAAAAAGAAATATCATCATTTCACCCGAATCAATTTTAACAACCACCGTCACAGGACATTGTCACAATCTTGCCAGAAGGATTCGTAAACATCGGTGCCACCGAAAAATGCGCAATCCATGGTATGATCAAAGATAATCACGTGTTGACGATTCAAGGTCATCCAGAGTATTTCAAGGAATGGACGCAAGATCTCCTTATGTCTCGTAGAGATTTATTTTCGAGAGACGAGTACGAACAGGTATTTAAGGCTGCGGAACTTGATCATGAAGGTGTTTGGTTTGGACAAAAGATTTTGAGATTTTTTGCGGAAAATTCTGATAGTACAGTTGATCCTCCTTAAACCGAAGGTGCTAGAAGGGAATTTATCTGTTTCATCACAATGTCCGTTAAAGCTTATTGTCCGATTAACTGAGATATAATTGGAACATCCTTTACAACAGACAAGTCTGTCTTAGCGCAAATCACTTTTTTGAGTTTATATGTATATTATAAATGTATAATATATATTTATTGCGATTGTTAATCCCAAATTCAAATAAATCTGGTTTATCAATTTCTCTTACTGTTCTTAACTACATGTATATATTTTAGTCATTCAAATTCATTGATTGACCATCTTTTCTTCTACCCACGTATATCATTATAATGTATTCTTCAATTTATCTTTGCCAAAATTTCAGAATCACGGAATAACACGTATTCCTAAATGTAAGTGAAATCAAAATCCATAATTGAACACGTGATAGTGGGTGATGGTAACGGTAAAATTAGTGATAACAGTTAGTTAATTAATGATGATGAATATAGAATAAACAAACCTCATCTCCGACTTTGACAGTGCTGCCACCATAAGATGGAAGGAGGACTCGATCGCCTTCGCCTACTTGTGGTGCAATATGATTTCCCTCCTATAATTTTAATATCGTTATGATTAATTGTAATTATAAAAACTAAAAATTATTTAAACACAAACCTTATCTAAAGCACCTTTCCCAACAGCGATAACCTTTCCCTCATTTAACGACTCTATTGCTTTCTCTGGTATCAAAATACCTGCTGCTGTTTTCTAACCAACCAGAAAGTCAAAGTTAAATATCTGATAATCATGGACCTCGATCGAATGAATAAAAAAAGTTCATTTTTTTTTAATTTGAGATATTGATATGTTACATGTTCCGCTTTGAGACGTTGAACTAGCACTCGGTCGAGTAGCGGAATAATGGCTTTTACGTTTCTTGTGGCAACAGACTATTAATATAAATATAAAATGATAGTATTAATATTAATACTCGGAGTTTATGTATATTGATAACAACTAAGAATATATTTACCATGATATCCGCGCTTAATATTAGTGAAAAGCGGATAAAACGCGTGAAAAGATACGACCAAATATATTAATCAAGTTTTATGCTTTCAAAAAACCAGTCTGTAATTATTATTTTTAAGCAAAAAACATTACTGACCTGTGAAAAAATTTTTTAAGTACCCAAGAAAAAAGAAAGTTGTAGAAATGTCTAGTATTCTCTTGACACTTTAAATTTTTCTGATGACTCATATATTTTGTTCAATCGCGTGATTGATTACTTTTTTTTGCTGTCTTTCATGTGTCATAGTGACAAATCTTAAGGCTGGTGTGCACCCGGAGAATAATAGAATAATCGCGAAGAATAGAATCTCATGGAAATATATTTAAGCCTATAAAGCAACCAATTATTGTCCCGATTCACAAAAATTTTAAAACGGGTAAAAAATTTTTTTTCGCGAGTTCTGGTTTGATTTTTTTTTTTTAGTTCGTTTGGGATAATTAGTTTTATCAAACACATTTTTTATTCTATAACAGAAAAATCGAGAGGATACTTTACGAAATTATCAATAAAGAGGCATCAAACAACGATAATAAAAATAATATCATTATTAATCATGAATCGACTTCCGCGATACATCAATATCTCCAAATCCTCTTTACTAGCCTCGCGTCTTCCTAATTCTAGCAATAGTCTCTTGACAGTCTCAAAAAAAGCAGCTAGAAAAATACCGAAGACGACAAACAGTTATTTATCGCAAAGAACGTATGCCACACACAAAGAACTCAAATTCGGAGTAGAAGGTCGTGCAACATTATTACAAGGTGTTGATATTCTTGCGAAAGCTGTTGCTGTCACATTGGGTCCAAAAGGACGTAACGTTTTGATTGAACAGTCGTATGGGAGCCCAAAAATAACAAAGGACGGCGTGACAGTGGCGAAAAGCATAACTCTTCAGGATAAATTTGAGAATTTGGGTGCAAGGTGAGTATATGAGAATATGATCGGACATGCAAAAATTCGTTTTTTTTTTGGTTACACGAAAATTTAATGATGATATCACGCGTTCTTTTCATTAAAATTCAATAGACTAGTTCAAGATGTCGCAAACAAGACAAACGAAGTTGCAGGTGATGGCACAACCACAGCAACAGTCTTGACGCGTGCGATTTACGTTGAAGGTGTAAAAAATGTTGCGGCTGGTTGTAATCCAATGGATTTGCGTCGCGGAATCCAATTAGCTGTTGATGCGATCGTTAAATACTTGCAGGGGAAAAGTCGAGTGATAACCACAAGCGAAGAGATCGCACAAGTATGTATTGTTAAAAAGAATATACCTGATGTAATTGCAAAATAATTAATTAAATATCTATTAATTATAAAAGGTGGCTACTATTTCTGCAAATGGTGATACACATGTTGGCCAATTAATTGCCAACGCAATGGAGAAAGTTGGTAAAGAGGGAGTAATCACCGTTAAAGAAGGAAAAACAATTGAAGATGAGCTTGATGTCACAGAAGGCATGCGCTTCGATCGCGGCTACACATCACCATATTTCATTACTGATCCAAAGACACAAAAAGTCGATTTTGAGAAACCTTTGATTCTATTATCGGAAAAAAAGATTTCAATGATTCAAGATGTTGTCCCGGCGTTAGAAGCTGCTATGCAACAACGTCGACCACTCTTAATCATCGCAGAAGATATCGACGGGGAAGCATTAGCTGCGTGTATTTTGAATAAACTTCGTGGTAATATTCAAGTGGCGGCGGTCAAAGCTCCAGGATTCGGTGATAATAGAAAATCTATTCTTGGGGATCTTGCTACGTTAACTGGTGGGACTGTGTTTTCTGACGATCAGGAAATCAAATTGGAACGTGCTACTCCTGATTTGTTCGGATCGACCGGTTCCGCGACAATAACGAAAGAAGATACGATCCTGTTGAATGGTGAAGGACCAAAAGAGCAAATCAATTTCCGGTGTGAACAGATTCGTGCTGCTATTAGCGATCCAAACGTTTCCGACTACGAACGGGAGAAACTCCAAGAACGTCTCGCTAAACTATCGGGAGGTGTAGCTGTCATCAAAGTCGGTGGTGCCTCCGAAATAGAAGTTGGGGAAAAGAAGGATCGTTTTGTCGATGCTCTAAATGCCACTCGTGCTGCTGTCGAAGAAGGCATTGTACCAGGTGGCGGCGTCGCACTCTTAAAGTCTATCAAAACACTCGATACCCTCAAGCCCGCTAACTTTGATCAACAACTCGGTGTCAACATTATCAAATCTGCGCTACAGAAGCCTGCTCGAATAATTGTAGATAATGCTGGCGAGGAAGGTTCCGTCATAGTTGGCAAGTTGCTGGACAATCATGGTGATGATTTCAATTACGGATACGATGCTGCAAAGGGTGAGTATGGTGATTTGATTACACGTGGGATTGTCGATCCTTTGAAAGTCGTTAGGACTGCTTTGGTCGATGCGTCTAGTGTTGCTAGTTTGTTAACGACAACGGAATGCATAATCACTGAGGCACCAGGTAAAGAAATAATAAAAGATTTAGTTGTTCTTTATGCATCTTGTTCTCATTCTTCGTTTTTTATTTTTTATTAGAAGAAAATAAAGGTGGGCCAGGCCCCGCTATGGGAGGAATGGGAGGAATGGGAGGAGGCATGATGTAGAAAGATGTGACGTATTAAATTCTAAAAAAAAAGACATTATTACATATTGCATTGTTTTTCAATATAGAGAGCGAATAATAAACATCTTGATAATATATAATAGTAGTAGTAGTAGTAATCATTCACCCAATTCAACGGTCAAAGGTAGTTAATATATCTATATAATGTTTGAATCAAACCAATCAATCATTCAATGATGACTGCGTGCGTGATTATGATACCATTTGTTAGATTAATGTGATGAGTCTATTGCAACTTGACAGTTTTAGAAGTCTTTCTTAAAGAAAGTGAATAAGTTATCTTTTTACATTTTCTGCAAGGCGAATATCATAATAGTTATTACTACGTAGTAAAGAATCCGATTACCGCATTTTGCCATAAATGTTTACATAATAATATAAATTAAAAAATACGTTGAATCCAAAATTATATATCGATATACCATAAAACAATTTCTGTTGACGCGATTGCATACTACATCACCAAATAATTTGTCATATCTTTATTTTGTTCAGTTGTTTTATAAAAGACGAAAGATTTACTTGCTTGCAATAAATCAAGAATCTTTGATTAACATATCACTATAAATATATTTATTTGATCAATCAAACTTAGATTTATTATTCATTTTTTTCAGCGTATTTTTTTTCTTAAACCAATGCCAAATATGACCAACGATGAAATAGTAAAAGGAGCTGCACGAATAATCAAACAGCAAGGACTAGCATTGCTTGATTGCGCCGAGAGACTACAACGAGGCGGCGAGAATGCCGATTCATATCGTAAAGCCATTTACCATCTTTTTCGTGCGTGTGATCAAGGAGGAAAAATAATAGTGACAGGAGTCGGTAAATCCGGAAAAGTTGGCGAAAAACTAGTCGCCACATTACAATCGACCGGCAGTTGTGCTGTATTTCTACATCCGACCGAGGCATTACATGGCGATTTAGGAATAGTGCAACCTGACGATGCAGTGATCGCAATTAGCTATTCGGGTAACACGGACGAACTGATAAGGATTCTGCCGTCATTACGATCACGCGGCGTAACCATTATTGGGTTATGCGGAAATAAACATTCGCAGCTGGTCAAAGAATCAGATGCGTGGTTGGACGGGTATATAAAGAACGAGAGTTGTGCATATATTCCCGCCCCGACAACTTCCACTACTCTTGCGATGGCTGTTGGTGATTCGGTCGCTGTAACATTAATGCAGTTACGAGGATTCACACCACAACATTTTGCTCTAAATCATCCTGGAGGCGCATTAGGACGGAAACTATTATTAAAAGTTAAGGATGTGATGTATAACGTGGCTGATGTACCAACAGTCACAACATCGACACCAATGGACCAAGTGCTAAGCGAATCGACACGATTCAAATGTGGCACGGTGTTAGTGTTGGATGACGATGAGGATGTAGAAAGCACAAATTCCGGAATAATTGATGATAACAATAGCAACAGAAAAGTAATTGGAATAGTTACGAAAGAAGTGATTCGAAGTGCATTACAGCAGTTCCGAGCACAGTTGTTTCAACTCGTAGCTGCCGACTTGATGACCACTGATATTGTCACATGTTTACCTGATGATATGGCTTGTGAAACGAAGAGGCTGATAGAAGAACGTAATGGTGACGAAGAGAGTTTGGGCGCGTTACCAGTTATCGATAAGACAAATAGGTTGAAAGGAGTTGTGTTGTTGGAGGATTTGGCTTAATACTATTGTTATCATTATCATTATTAAATGCTACAGTGTAGTCTCATTATTGTTATCATTATCATTATCACTATCATTATCATTATCATTATTACCATGTTAATATAGAAATATTCATTCCACAATGTTTTTCGATTTGTAGTTATTCTCATTAAATCCCTATAATAATTTTTATCGTGACAGAACAGTGTTGGCAATTGGACATATAAAGCTAAGCCACATTTTCAATTGGACATAGGCTCAATTCCAATTGGATATATGTCCAATTCCAATTCAAAGCAATTGGACATACTGTATATATATAAAGTTGCCAACACTGAGACAAGTTGACAGGCCTGTCCAAAAATAAAAGTAATTATACATATGTCTGTCAAAAAGTCAAAAGGTATTTCGTCATTAGTTACTAACTTTTCGACCAGAGCCAACCCGTTCGTTGTTGTTTGTTATCCAACTCAAACTTTTGTTGATTATTAAATTTTTCATATTTCAAATATTATAACTATTTTAACTTAATATTTATTGTTGACAGGATTAAATTCGATTATAGCTTTCTTCCACGCAATACCTTTTTTTTTTTTTTTTTTTTTTTTTAGCTCAATACAATATAATTAAGATTACGTTTTATATCTTGTAACTATAACGTTTTTAACTAAAAAAAATTAAAAATCGCAATAATTCGATAAATATTATTCTATTAAAATGAAATTACTACCAAAATGGTTGTCTTTTTGAGGCGAATATAATAAGACCAAAATAGGTTATGAAATTTTAAAAACCTGTAATCGGGAAAATAACTTACCGTGATGTGCTCTTATTAAATTTTCGCTAGAAATCTAGCACTATTATTTATATATTTTGCTTCTATAAAATATGTTAGTATTATAGTAACAATCTCATCACCATTACTTTCGCGAGAACTGTATAAAATATATATATATATATCAATTTGCCAAAAGTGTCTGAACAAACTAAAATTTATTAATAAAATATAGTAAAATCGAAAATTTATTTTTGATTTTAAAATTGGAAATAAACCAGATGTTTTTGTTTTCTGATTTATTTACTATTTAAACCAGAAGTAAATTAGCTTTCTTTTTTTTTTTGCTAATTATTAATTGAAAAATGAAAAGTTCAATTTTAAAGGTAAAAAAAAATCATATAGAAAACTCTATAATTAATTAAAGATTGAATAAATATTTGTATTATACAATAACTAACAAAATTATGAAATTATGTGTGCAATTTTATTAATAAAATATAGTAAAAATTGAAATTTTTATTTTATATAAACGTTTTTAATTTTATCAATAAATAGTTTATTTTTATATCAAAATAAAGATTATAAGTTATATTTTTAATATATATTTTTCTGGATTTTTTTAGATTTAATCTGGCAAAGTTGTTCTAATTACAAAGTTATTGTAAAATTTTTTTATAATTAATTTTATGTTTTAACTATAAAAATTTTTATAATAGAATAACTTTGTCAGATTAAATCTAAAAAATATATATTAAATATAAATTATAATTATTATTTTAATACAAAAATAAAAAAATATTTATTAATAAAATTGAAAAGTATAATATTAAGAAAAATTTATATTTTATTATATTTTATTAATAAATTTTAATGTTGTTATATTGATTTTATTGCTATTATATTTTTTTTTGAATTTTTTAGATTTAGTTTTATAAAATTATTTTAATTACAAAGTTATTATAAAAATTTTTTATAATATTTTAATTATCAAAAATTTTTATAATAACTTTATATTTAGAATAACTTTGTCAAATTAAATTTAAAAAATCTAGAAATAAAAATATTTATAATATAATTGAAAATTTTTATTATATTTTATTAATAAATTATATATATAATTTTATATTAATATATAAAATATTTATTTATTATATTTTATATTAATTTATTTTAGCTTGCAAAAAGTAATTGGAAAATAAAATCAAATTAAATTGATTTCTAATTTTAAAAAACTAGAAGTAAATTAGATTTATTATAATAAAATAAAAATTAATCTAATTATAATAATTATTATATATAATAATTTTAATATTAACTAATTATATATCCAGAATTTTAACTCCAATTCTAATGCAGATTCTAATTAACCAATTAAAATATAATTATTACAAATAATAATTATTACAAATTTATAAATTAATAATTTTTATATAAAATTTATTAAATAATAAAAAGTAAATAAAAATCTAAAATTAATACTAATATAAATATTTTAATTTAAATAAATATAAAACAGATTTTTTTATAAAAGTATTTTGTAAAATTATAATTAATATCAGTAAATTCTATATATAAATGCACATTATCTAAAGTTATAAAATATAAATGTTTGATGACTTTAGATGGTGTGCACCATATTAGTTTACAAAAATACTCAAAATTTACTATTAAAATATAGTAAAATTAAAATTTTATTTTCATAAATTTTTTTGATATAAATTTTATTTTTATATCAAAGCTCTCTCTCTCTTTACCGAATTAAATATCTAATATTAGAACACGATTTCTATTTATGGATTTTTTTGCAATTTTAACTTACTATTAAGCTGTCAAATACAGTCTTCTCTTGCTTTAGATTATTTAAACACTGATATTTTCTCTAACTACTGTATTTTACTATAAAATGCGCCCTTTGTAAAAATTTGTAACCTCAAGCTATTAATCGGTAACAAAGTTTTGAAGAAGTTATATGTGAATCTTGTTTTATTCGTTTCGCAAAAAATAATTGGTTTTACTAAAAAAAAATTAAGGTTTAAATTTTCTAAAAGGGTCTCACAAGCTCATATACAACTTTGAAAGAACTTCCTTTGTGGATCGCGTGTTTTGCGGTTCTTTATAATCCTCATTGCACAACATTTACCTGAGAATTTAGAAGAAAAAAACGAAGTTTTCTTACTTTTATTTTAAATCAACGTATTCAATATAATTACCCTTTATCTTTAATTGGAAATATGGACGAGGCGCCTCTTGCTTTTGATTTACCAAATCCAACAACAATCAACAAACGTGGTGCCCGCACGATTAGCCTTCGAACTACGGGTAATGAAAGAAAAAATTTCACTGTTGTTCTTGGATGTATGGTCGATAGGACAAAATTACCTCCAATTTGTATTTTTAAACTAAAAAAATACCTCGAGAAAGCTTTTCTAATAATGAAAAAGGTTGGGTTAATGAAGAAGAAATGCTTTGGTGGGTTGAAAATATTTGGACTAAAAGACTACCTTTAAGTAATCCACATTCCCTTTTAGTTTTTGATTCCTTTCGTGCACATTTAATTGACTCAGTTAAACATAAACTTATTGAAAATAATACAAATCTTGCTGTAATTCCTGGAGAGCTAACATCTAAACTGCAACCATTAGACATTGCTATTAACAAAAGTTTTAAGATGAAGGTATATATAAATTTTAATTACTATATTTTGTTTTTTTTGTCGTTATACATATTTAAAAATTAATTTTAAAAGGTCCGTGCACTATATAATCAATGGATGTCAGAAGAAATTCATGAGCTTACACTTTCAAACCGTATTAAAAAAACCTTCATATTCATTACTCGCTAAATGGGTAGAAATTGCGTGGGTGTCTCTTGATCCAAATTTAATTAAACGTTCATTTAAATATTGTGGGATATCTGACGAATTTGTTATTTCTAATGCTAATACGTAGTTTCTTTTCTCGTCATTGTGATACAAATCTAAATAAAAATACGCAACAAAAAAATATCCGTGCATAAACCGGAAAGTACTTTTGGGGGGGGGGGGGGACTATACAGTGTTTTACGGTAATAGTTGCAACCACGTAATGTCGTAATATTACATTATGGTCAGCAAACTTAGTTGGTACAGAATGAGTTAATTGCACACTAGTAAAAATAAAAAATCGGTGTATTGAAAGAATACCGGAATGCCAATTGAATTGGCTCATTCAAGGTACATTTCGAGGAGAGAAAAATTACATTTTCTTGAATCGGTCACTTTGAAACGCGATATCTCGTGATCCAGCAGTCCAATTCGGATAAAACACCACCATTCGATTTCCAAAGTCGAGACAAATTGTACGGTAGTATTTTCATCCGACTTGGTTCACTGAGGCTAATGTTTCGGGCAAACCTATTTTTCAAAATCTGAAACGTTTCACCCAGTGAGCTTTCAGTTTCGCCCTATAAGTTCGCTACCCAAAACCCTAATTTGGAAATACTTTGTAGATCAAATTGGACGAAACTAGTTTCGCCGAATCGGTTCACTGAGGCACGAGATATTGCGTTCCAAGTTACCGTCAAAAAATTAATCAATAACTTTGTGACGCAATATCTCGTGCCTCAGTGAACCGATTCGGATGGAAATACTATTTTTCAATTTCTCTCGACTAGGCAAATCAGATAACGGTGTTTATATCCGAATCGGAACACTAGATCGCGTTAAAACGTTACCGATTCAAGAAAATGAATTTTTTCTCTCCTTGAAATGTACTTGGAATGAATCAATTCAATTGGCATTCTGGATATCCTTTCAATACCCGGATTTTTTATTTTTGATGAATAGTATATTTCAAAGGACGGCTTACTCGACTTAACGACTATAATTGACGGTATTGGACTGATGGTCTTGGTAATTTATCACAAGTCACTGATCATTTTTTATTTGAAATGTGACCTAGGTCACCTTCTTTTTATCCAACCAAATCTTTAGAAGCTTATGTGACGCCATTATAAAAATGATCTAGAAATGACTCATTGACTATAGTCATTTAGTTGCGGGTCCGCAATCAAATAAATAATTGCGCAACAACCATGCATTTTCTAATAAAACCTATTTAATGATTATGTGATTTTTATAAAATTATTAGTCTTTACGCTATTTAAAAGACCCAATACCGTATACATGTAATAATAACCGTTTTTATAACTGTAACCTTTAAACAGGAATATCCACAAGTAAATTGAATATTTAATTTGCGGC